CTCTGTCAGGCAGCAACAAGGATGATTCAAACTTGTCTGACATCTTAAATGATTGTTGATAGGTGTGTTGGTTTCTTGAAATTCGTCTTCACATTACTCTCTCCTGATCACTCTCCTGCCCTGATGAGATTATTCTCACCTAAAACACTTAATAGAAAACGTGCGCTGTTATAATTTAAGAGAACATTGCTATAGATGGGCCCTAGATACTGTTTTTAGAAAGGTGGGATTTATTCTATATGATCAACAGCAAGGCTTCTGGCAACGACAAATAAGTTCACCGTAGATATGTAACTATTGCATAGGGACTGTCAAACTTCTCAACATAGCGATCCCCACCACTTGCTCCACTATTCGTCAACTCAGTCTGTTCAACCTCCATTCCCTTCTTTCGTCTTCTTTTGGGTAGATTTTTATGACGAATTTGCTTGATCGCTCCCATTTGCGATTACACCATTGGAATCCAAGGCGAATGGTTCCTGTCAGTTCCTGGCTTGTTTGGAGGGCTTGGCTGTTCCTGGGTTGTCAGGTTGGCCACCCAACTAGCCAGTAATTTCCGATCAAAATAGGATAATTACCAAGTGGTATGCTCATCAGAACAAACTCCAATAAGGGCAAGATACCGTCTCGGTAAAAAAATAATAAACTGTCTATATACAAGAGCTTCTCTTTCCCATTGAGCCCGCAAGTTCTTTGACGCCATTACTCCAACTTGAAATGCGATTAAGAAGTGTGGAAAGAGGCTCCGTTCTCTTCTTTTCGAGTAAGAGTATATCCAGTGGAAAGGCATATTATACCTTATAGCCAACCCCAAAGTGCAGATAAGCACTAATATTTCTCCTGTTGTCGCGAGATACCACTATCTTCAATATCTTTTCACCACTACCGTGGGAAATGTTATTCTTTGGAATAGGCGCCCGATATGGACACCCCCTGAGGGCTTTGAACTGTCCATCCTACTCCAGTAACCGTTGAAAAGTTTGTTGACCGTTTTATTAACTAGTGACCTAAAACGCTAGATCAATCCTTTATTTGAAAACCGCATACTTAAGAACAGTAATGCACAAGTAGTACACAGCAGCACGTACGGATGACGATATTCATCGTAGAACCGCAATACGCGTCAAATCCATTAAAACTCCGTTGGATAACTTTCTAAACTTGCGACTGTAGTCAAAGGAGAAGTCCACGATTCCGGTCAGTCTGACGGGGTCAATCAACACCTTTGATCAGTTCACAGTACACGACAGTCTAACTGGGGGCGAGATGGCCAAACTGATTAGAGCGCGAATTTACTGACCGGAAGGTCCGTAGTTAGAACCCGACCTCTGCCTCTCGAATTCCCCTGTCTAGGCTTGGGCAACTTGGCAGTATCCCAACCCTCGTGCTTCCTTCGGGTAGCATGGCAGTTAGGCACCTGAAGTGTGCCACAGCTGAACGAATCAAAAAGTCTAACTTATTAGCTGTTATGTGCCATCCTGAAAATAGATTATAGGATAAATTATAGCTGAAAAAACGAAAAGGGCCACCTAGGCAAAAACAATCAGTACGCGAAAGCATATGCAACCGTTTATAGACACTTCGTAAATATAAATAAGGCAGGCGATTACGTGAAATCTGTACATAAGATGTATGAGATGATATTCGGTTTATGGCTGGTTTCAATCGTTTCGCACTAGGCGCAGATGGTCCAAAAATGTACTGACCGGCCGTACAGTCTACTACCAATCAGTTGCAAGCGCGTGACCTCGACCCTTCCCAAAGAATTGTTTTTTCTTTTTATTCATGCAACACAACTTTTCACACTTATTCAGTTGTCCATGAACGCGATTCCTGCTGTTGGTTTATCCTTAAGCTGGCAGGATGACCTGTACGTGGTGGCCGCTAGAAAATTAGTCGATAAAATCCCACCCACAGAGAGTAAAAAGTAGCCTTGTTGACATCCAAATTTGAAGGAAGGGACAGCATGCATAAGAACCAGTGTGATACCAACCAGTGGCATGAGCAGACGGCGAATCAAAGAAACTAAAACACGGGAGTAGCTATGTGACGTCAGTGTTTATCCACAACTGTATCGGAACACTACAAGTCACAAGCGACAAATGGGAACAAAAAATTGCGGCGCACAATAAAATCAATCTGATGCGGTGAAGTAGGATACAGACCTCTCACATCAACAGGCAGTGCATTACACGTTTTTCTTCTCTAAACTACAATATGTTACGGAATGTGAACTGTCAAGTGTGTGCTCGAGAGTACTACGTTCAGTTGACTGGAATAGACGCGCGGATCCATTTGGAAAACTGTCGACGTGGATCGTACATTGAATGTGAGCTGCTGATGTACGGTAGCTAGTACTAGTGCATACATGCAAAACATGTGAGTAACAATGTTTGCCATGAAAACAGATACCTTGGGACCATATTGAGTGAAGCTCATTCGTCCTTAAAAATGACTAGTTTAGGACAAAACTGGACAACAGAACATAGTGAACAATGCGCTCGGGGATTGGACGAGTCTGGAGGTACATTCCCTCTGATTAGAACCGGACGTCACGAAAGCGAGCTTTCATCTTGTAGACTGTGTTCGAAAGGCCACTTGTACACCTCAGATGCGCATTAGCTTTAGGTGAAATCTGTCACAAGAATTCGAAATTGAGTTACTAATCCCACTTGGGGAGAAAGACCACTGTCAAAGACGACGAGTCACGCCCAATGCTACCGAACAGCTATCCGAAGTATGAAATGTAGAAGTAACCCACAAGGGAAAGTATTTCAGGGGATATATAAAGTCTGTATTGGTGATATGTGAACTCTAGACCATGGCTCACCCAGCCACAGAACCAACGGAGATGGTGCACGCGCAAAGTATGGGCTTCGTATCCTATCAACCCTTTAAAACCCTGAAACTAGCGACCCGTGTCTTCCGTACTCATGTTTGAACAAATGATGGGATAGATAGGAAATGACACGTTTAATGTGGGTGACCAGGTGCACATTGTGATCTAAAGTACTCCTCGCACTAATTGGGGTGCGAGCTGCAATCGACATGAAATTTAAAATCAGCTGCTGTCAAACTGAACGCTATCCGGACCAAGATACAAGTGGTTTTCGCTAAGCGTGTCTGAAAAATCCACAAGAACGTGCATCTAAGGTTTCTAACCCCTCATTGCTGTCTTGTACAATAGCCGTAAGGATGTTGAGTGACGAAAGCCGCGCAGAAACTCCAACTTCGATGTTATTCGGAGGTACAGGCACTTTACTTCTGACCGTTTTTCATGAGTTTTCTTGGCAATAAGTCACCATCCGCTGTCTCTCTTTCTTAAGCAGGGTATACTCTGCGACTAGACAAGTTCAGTACGAGGACAGACTACAACTCGTTTCATTATGAACACTACTGGCGTAACGGTGGATACTACTGATAGGGCATACGAGTAGTATGTATAGTATGTATTTCGTAAAACCCCCTCCCTTCTCTTGAAAAGTGAAATCTATTAGGGAATTTGTGGAGCCGCTTCGTAGCATTTGCTTGCATTTGAGTAACAGCCAGTGATTATCCGGGAGAGTTCAAAAAGATGGATCTTCGGCTTTGTAAACAAGATGCATATGAGAGTTTTGCTACCCTGTCCAATAGTCCGTAACTGTTCAGTTGGTGTTTCTTCAACAAACAACTCCGCAGCGAAGGGCTTGTTCCTTTCACTGGTAATGTGTTGGGATATTGGTGTCAAGGGCGTATTCATCGGCAGTCGATTAGCTGGCTGTTGATTTGTTCGCCGAGTTAGCAACCGTCTCTTCACCGTTCGGGGAGACATCAGTGCGCGCACTGAAACACACGAACAGGCAAACACGTGTGAATGTTGTGCACGACTACATGAATGAATGGTCATCGGATAGATAGAATATTCCAGTGTTAGTCTCCAATTTGTTTCAAAGGTATATTCCCGGAAAACATTCTCGCACATTATGAAAACCTGAATGGGATTCAAGCCTAAAAGTAAAACCAGGTGAGGAAAGTGGATCTTCGGGGCCACTTCGGGATTGAAATTATCGTCAGAAAAGATATCACCCACGCAGGTTTCATAGGGTTCATATCTTTGTATTGTGTTCATGATCTTTTGTTAAAACTGAAGTCTCTCTGAGGAACAAAAAAGACGCTCTGTCCCATTATGGATTGCACTACAGAAAAACTAACCCTGTGCACTCTGAGGAAGTTTTTGAGAAACGAACAGGGTTAATTGTCTACGGTGGTTTTCACTTCAGAAAGCTATACATGCACTCCACACGCAAAAGGGGATGTTCGATTATGGTAGCGGTTCGATATCCTACTTGTATTCCGTATTACTTTCTACGTCCCCACCATCAGAAGAACGAATAACTAAGAATACCAAAGCAAGGAAACAAAAATGCCCTTGAATAAGGCACCTCCCTGCGCTGAGGTTCGCAGGGCATGCCTCCCAAACCTTATCGGTCAGTTGCAGGGGAGAGAAAATTTTTGGATCAACTAAGGGGCTTGATTATTTAGCAATCCCAAAAAACGTGGTAAGATGGTATAAGACTTCAGTTCGGTTAGCGCGATTGCCAGGCTATTTGTTGCATTACTTCTCAACCGCTTTTCAGTTGATGCTCCCCTCGTGGCAGACGTTGGACCCACCAGATATACATCGTGCGTAGAATCCTGGAACACCAACAGTCCATTATGATCAGTTCTGAGATCTTTTTCAGCTGCGCTTGACTCCATTAACAGAAAACCACGCAGAATATAATGGCAGGCCTTATAAGTCCTAATGCTCGAGGGTGTGTAGGTGAGAAACCAGAAACAATCGTCATCATAACTGGAGTGGAACAGGGTTGCCGATTATCATCCGTCCTTAAAATTCACTATGGTTTGGACGACTAAAGAGACTCCCTAAACTAGGCGTCCAGCTAAGCCCATACCTTGGATCGCATAGCCTAAATATGCTTATGACGATGTCAGAAGAGCATAGAGGTGGCATCTTCGTTGTGGTTTTTTATCAGAAGAATCGACAGGCCCCTGTGAGTTTTCTATCACATAATAAATGATTGGCCCAGCAGTCCCACAGAGAAAAAGACTGCCTGCTACGCCCATAAGATAGTAATGCGAGAACCTGACAAAAGATACTTTAAGAAATAAACGTACAGTGCCATGATTGCGTGAACTGGTAGAGTACAAACATGTTCTAGGGTGCACTTGAAGAGAAGCTGGTGCTATTGTGGAATCAGTGGAAGGGTGTGTAACGATGCTGAAAGAACGGGCTGTTAAATAGGCACAGTCAGTCAAAATGAAAAAGAATGAACACCACGATGAGTGAAAGAACTGGTAATGAATGACTGAGAAAAAGAGGAAGCAAAATGTAAAACGCAGGCAATCTCGTTCACAATTATGACAGTCTAAACTGGGCCGAGTATGCAAGTGAACAGATCGTAGATCACAATGCAGGTTTTGGTGAGTAAAAATAGACGATGTGGGTGAAAAATAAACCCACGGTTACCAAAGTTCCAAGCGTGTACAATAATTAATGCCGAGTGGAAACAAATGGTTCCAAGTCGACGAGTAACCGCGCATCGGAATTGGTCAACCGAGAGGACGCATTGACATTCTCTCCAGGTGAACGCATACCGGAAGAAAGAGGAGCGCTCGCCAAAGGCCTACTGACCTCTCCAATGAGACTGCCTGACCCGTCAACGATATCGGCAGGTTGAGCTGTTGGTTGAGAACTCTCGTTATCTAAGATGAGAAGCTGATCATCCTCTATCGTGACTGGACATACGACAGAGTGATTGGAATATGCTTGCTGAGAAGCTATAGGTGAACTCTGACTGCAAACCACTGAAAACAGAGAGCAAATGAGTATTTTGCATCATTAGGGTCCTCACCTATATCGAAAAAGTAAATCGCACAACCGACAAAAGACTTTTTCTGATCTACGATGTGAAGCAATCCAACGTACTAGGAATGATCGCAACCAACACAGGACAAGTGGAGTAGGGAATACGGAACAAGATCAAACAGTTAGATTTGGTGTTTTGTCTAGTGTGTTTGTCCTAGTAACGTGTTCGCCTCTCACACGTGATTGGACAGGTCTATTCTTAATCGAACAGTAGCAACACCTACATGCCATTGACTGCATCTAAACTGGTCAGTCTAGTGACCGAAGATTATTACCACGCCTTCATATGAAGAACAACCATCCACGATGCTCTGCGTGTCTTTCATCCGCATGTCCCCGGTGGGTCCATGGGAGGACCGTAGCAATACGCTGAACTACATCGGAAATCAGTTACTTCAAATTCCACTATCTGGAAGTCTTTGACATCACAGTCTAGCTAGCTAATGTGCTACATAGACAACCACTCTTGTGTGAAAATACGAACTCAGCAAACTAAACACTAACAGTGGCACTCTGTCCTGAATGGTCCTGTAGTTTTGGAAGTTGGCGTGGATCAAGCTGTCAGCAATTTTAGAGCGCATAAGGAAAACTTGACTATATAATAGTATTTGGGTGAAAACAGCATTTCAGTACGCGTAGATCACATGATGAATTCTACGAATCCCACAACCACGTACGACTGATTAGACCTATTTGCCACAATAAGTGCTTGTCTAAGTGATTAATTGAACTAAATGAACAAAACATGCTGGCTTGGTTATATGCTCCGTACGTCGGGTGATCAGCTGTCTCGCCGCCCTCTGGTTGCTGAATCGATTGGTGGTACAGGGTGGACAACTCGTGACGTTGAAAAACATTAAAACCTCAAAGTGTCGGACCTTTTTAATAAAGCAAGAAAAAACATCTCGCCGGGATAACGTGAATTCAGCTACATCGTGTACTCTCGGTCAGCCGCTTACATTACTTCATATCCAAGGTTAAACAAGTCAAGCACGTAGCACGACATACCACCAAACCAATTGGACCAAACACGACAGTATTAGACATCAACATAAAGAATGACAGACAAGGATCACACGGCAGACAGTCAACCCACAGAATTAGAGTGCGACGATGGGAATCTTAATACGCGGTCTCACCAAGCTGATGTAAGACTAGACACACAGATTTGCTTGAATCCGTCTAATGGCTACGAATTCGGCGCATTACGGCAGACGATGGTGCAGACCGTTTATGATAGTGACTGACTGTTTAGGTTCAGCATACATATCGCAGTCCAGTAGATGGCGTCAAATCGAACTCGTTGAGTTTCGTCCCACGCAATGTAAGACCGTTGGGAACGTGTGGACAGCGCTCGTGCAGTTCGTCCTACATACATGCTACCACAAACACACTGGAAAAGGTAAATAAGAGGTAACATGAGTATGGGATTCCCACAGGTATCTGGATTTGTGCAAAATTACCACTGAAGATATGGTTTACGCGGTAGTGAAGACTCCTGTCGTTATCTCTCTTCGTGAAGATTATTGTGACGAATATTTTCTTCGTACGAACGAAAGGTACTTGCTTCTCCCCTATGTTCACTGCACTTGATGATGAATTTCGGGGGACCACTGAACCTACAGGGTTGTAGGATATCCCGTTGTAGGATATATCCCGTCATGTACTAGTACCAGTGTTCCCGTAGCAGATAGGCAACGACAATGTTGAATCGATATAACATTCTCCTGCTGATTTCTTTGTACTTTGGCCCTAATATTTTTCCTGCCCAAGCTACACTTCCTGTAGTTAAATGCCGTGCCGACCTAATACACTTGTACGAGGACAGAATGTTGATCGGATAATGTTTCAGTGATCAAGAGTGACTTCTGTAAGCAGCGGACTAACAAAAAGTATATGTACGAAGAAACAGATTATCAAGGTTTGGCCACCACAAGGTCAACTTTCGAGCCGTTTAGCTGACTGACGACCCTGAATTAGACACGCACAACAGAGGTTGCCGCTCCGGCACGTCTGTCTTCGGCATTTCGGTTCGCACGCAGAAGATGGGTATTGGTCGTCGTTCCAATTGAAGCTGCTGACTTGAGTGAGCGGCCACAGGGCCAGCAAAGTACAGCTCGACATGTTTCTCCGTACTTATTTTCTCGTCTGATTCCACGACACATAGATTTCCCACCGTGATTGTTAGGTACAGATTAAACCTATCTATAACTTTTCAAGCTTAGCAGTGTTTTGAGGTTCATGTGTTGCCCGACAAAGAGCCTACCATTAACGTTATCTTCTCTTAAGTACTTATCAATCAAAATACCACTTTCAATTCAAGGTAAACCAGAGGAAAGAGAGAAGCAACAAGATGCAGTCAAAGAAAGTGAAAAAAATAATTCACTCGCCTGTGACACCGCTACTTGTGAACGTAGCCGAGTCAGTTGCACTCAGATGTGACAATAAAGGGGCTGATTCCTCATTAGCATCGTCAAACAACGTGTTGGCCGAAGCGATCGATGCTGTCCGACTCATACGATCGTGACGAAAGGCCGTCCGGCGACGTAGAATAAAAAACAGGTGACGAAATCTCTGGAGGAGCCCAAGCGCCGGTAAGCGACTCTCCTCCGGTCCAGCACCATGAACTTCCTCATCGGAAAACGATCTTGGTGCTCCTGGAAGATCAACTGTCCGGTTACAAACGGGGCACCGACGGCGATTTCGTAGAAGCCATGGATCAATACAGTTGATATGAAACGCTGTTAATTGAATCGATAGAATACAATGAACCAAACGGTAAGCTTGGAAAGCCTGCACTCATGTCACATAGCGGCTGGACGCGAACTAACTAGTCTCTCATACACATTAATCGCTTCTGAACTACATAAGTTATTCCTTTTAGAGGAGATTCCTTAGGGAAAGGAAAGATTTCCCGCAGTCCTATTTTAAACGCTAAACCTTCTCTTTGAGGAAGCCAATCGCACGTCACTTACGCGAATCGGGCTTACTACAGGTTGTTCTTGGTCACCCAGGTCGTTCAAAAAATGACCGGTATGATCCGATTAGACCAAAACAACGATCAAACGATCAAAGAGTAAGGGCAACAAATACATGGACAGCAACGAAAACTGAATGGGTAGGATGGATACAGCCAGGCAGCAGCATCACATTAACGACCAAAAGCAAATCCAACTCAGAGGTGAGATGAACTGTCGTGAACACCTGTTTTCAGGGAAACAGTGGGACTAGAGTAAACTCCGATTTCATGATAATATGGTGTCAGTGCCGAGTAAACAACCGGTAGCTTCAGCCCTGGTCCTTTTCACTGAGCCCTACTTGCCCACATAAGCCGCATCAGCCTAGTAAATGATACTGAGAACCAATCAGCAAACGAAACACGGAATTAGGAATAACCGTATCCCTCTATTGTCACGTGCGCAATGGGACGAAAACGATCGCGAAAAAAGCTCTGAAGCGTTTTACCCTCAACGGTTGTACAATTCCACCAGGTGACAGTTATGCGTTTGGAAAATCAACACAAGGGGATCAAGTCGACCGGAACTATGCGACTAACAACAATCTGTGTTACTGAGTACGCGCAAATGTTCGTTCGACAAAGTTCCGAAATCATGTAACCGTGAAGCATATAGCTTTGGATTAATTCATCCATCCCATTTCCCAAAAGAGAGCACGGCTCTGAGAAGCAAGCTTCTGCTAGAAATACAAGCCGAGAAACCGAATCACAAACTTACAAGTTTAAATTAAAACGTCACGGCCACATATGTGAACAAACTGATAATGAGAAGTGTGTACGACATAGGAATATAAGCATAAGCCACACAAACTAGTGACAAGCCGACAACATCAGCTGACTATACCAGCTGACTTTGCAATCAATACCTTCTAAACAGCTGACCCATGGTGAATTGTAGGAAGCTCGACTGCTGGTGCGAGTGAAGCGATAAACGTGTACGGAGCGCTTCCGAAGTGACAAACGGACGCTCGGTCAAGTAGAATCGAAAAACTGTGCTCTGTAACAACAATCAGGTGTTTTCCCGGTAAACATGTGGCTGGTAGGTCACAAGCACTTCATCGGAGGGTTTAATTAACCGACATTACTGACTAGAAAGTCGCGATAAAGAAAGGTAGCTTGTGATGGGTAGATGAATAAATTAATTCTAACAACGGCAGTGAGCTGTCCAAGTGGGTAACGTTGTATCAAGGGAATTATGCCCATATGCTGACTATCGTTCCAACTAGAATGTGAGGCGGTCCTCGTTCAGCATACCTCGTTGAATACCATACATCGGAGAATCAGCTGATATTTAGCTGAGCCTCCCGTCAACACAATCTTAAGTTCTATTACCACCATATTTTTTCATGAGCTAAATGTGAACATAAGAAAGAAACCAGGGTTCATCAGTACAATCGGAGATTCAAAATGATAGGTACACACAATTTTCCCGAAATACACATCTAAAGCTCGGTGGTCTAGACAAAAAAAGTCGTCCTCCATCAGATGAACAAGTTTTTGAGATGGCCGTAGAATATGTTCCTCGCAAAGACTACTTCATCTGAAAGATTTATGCCGCATGCAGTCCACAGTTCAACCAAGAGTAGGTCAGAGTAGAACGAGATCTCGAATTCTCGCCTAAAGTTAAGCCAACCATTCTTGATGTACAAGGGTATGTCATACATACTGTTGACAACAATATTTCCCCGAGACCCTTCCCCCTGAGCTTGTCTGGAGGCACTGCGAGAAATCTCAGCTAAACGACATCAGTGACGTTCGCGTTGTCAGTTTCTTTCCAGGTTGTCTAACTGGGCGCTTAGAGGTGTAGTCAACTCAGAATGCTCGCAACAGGCCAGCACCAATTCCCTCTCTCGCCTACTCCTATCTCTTCTCTTACTTTAGGGCTTTAAGTATATTTAAATAACCTCTTGGGTAGTAGGGCATGAAACACCAGTGCCAACATTGTTGCTGTCTCTGATAATGAAGGGGACATCATTACTTCAGAACCTTTCCCAAACGAAGTCAAGTAGACAACCACAGGCAAACGTTATCTCCTTTAAAATCAAAGCTACAAGGAGGTCGACGGGACACTACACCATGCAGAGGAGTATCTTCCTCGATGCAAGCGTAAGAAAGAAAACATAATATTAAAAAATAACTGTTCAAATGTAACATCATTTCGGTGCCTAGCTGTCATACCAGCCGAAGGAAGCATGAGAGCTGAGACGCCAGCAGGTTGGCTAATCCCAGATAGAAGTCGAGCAAATTACTGTATCGTATTGTAAATCGATCGGTCACGACTGGATTGGCACTAATATGAAAGAGGCACTAAAGTTAACACATGTCTGTGGTCTCGGTGAAACCGTAGCAAGGGAAAGATGACCGAATAAGGCTTCGACAGTCTGTGTACAGCTCGTCAGTTGTATCCAGCTGTGTCTCAGGTCCCAAACCGAGTCAGGTATCTTGGGAAGTGGCGGAGCGGGTGGTCTAGAACTATTTTGTACAAGGTGGATTTAAGCACCCATAACCAAATGAGACTGGGGCTTCCGTGGACCTCCAGTTCATCACCGCTCCTATAGGGGTTAACATACCGGTACTTCATTTATTTAAAGAGCGCACAGTGCAGTCCTTAGTTCCTTGCCCATTTTTCCACAACCCATCATACGGTAATCTCTCAATCGAACGATGCGTCTTCGATACCACTCTGCAGTTGTGCATACCGCCTGGGAGGAACAAAATGGTTCCGTAGGATTACGATTTAAATCCTAAAAGGATCTACTTTTTGTTTCCGAACTCGTTTATGGAGAATGAATTTGAGAGAGAGAGAGACTTATGTTCCTCCGCCGAGAATCATTTACAAGGGACATAGTATACCAAAAAACGTACCGTGATGGCACGGAAGAAGACGAAGTTTCTCACGCTCTTTGTAGTCCTCTAGGCAGATTGGACAGGTTTCATACGGGTCTTGGCCTGGAGGAGCAAAACAGCAGATAAAAGCGCAACAGGTGATCCATTTCAAGTGCTAAATCCATCACAAACTAAGTCCGCAGAACCAAAAACATTATTACATTGTGTCCGAGGAGACTCTGGCAGGCAGAACAGTTATGATGGTTCGGCTGCTACTAAATCAGCGTTAATCACGCGAGAACAGGCTTCAAAAAAGGTTGGATCAAACAGTGCATTGTACCAGTCCTAAGCTCTCACGCTGGAAATGCATTTTGAGTAAAGTGGTAAACAGTGCAAAGAAAAGGAATTGCCTAGTAATATCATGCATCTTTCAAGTTCAACTGGATTTCGCAAATAATACACGCCCAAAACATCCGCTCTCGCCAAAAATTTCCAGTGAATGAAGCAGATCAGAACGAGGTAGAGTATGAGAAGGGGTGAAAACTTGTGTAAGTTATTCGCTTAAGTAAGAGACAGTGTGGAAATTCTATTGTCTACGTATACTTAAAGCATTCTCTTGAAGCTGTATTTGGTTCCGAACCCACTCAACGGTATGCAAAAGGGTTCAGCATAGCCGTCCCGTACACAAATTCCAGAGTAACTGTTTGCGCTTTCGCATGATACAAACGTCTGATCTGACTTAATGCTTGAACGGGTGGTCGTTGATCTGCTCACCAAGCATGGTAATTGGCTTGCCGCATCTACCGAGGTCCTTGGAGCACCATCACTACCGTCACAGAATGGTATGGCAATAAACTGAGGGGCGTTGAAACAGGTCCGTTCTATCATACGAAGCCACTTAAAGAAACTAGCAGACCTGGTCGCGCGCCTTTGCCCCGTTGCGATCAAAAACATTTACGTCAACTAAGGACTGTGTGAATGAACGCCGTGTCGGAAAAAGAACAGAGAGGATACCGGAGGGGATGTCTAGACATTGAGGAATGCGCATTTTATTGAACTGAGATTGTGTCGCAAAAAGAAAAGAGCAGATGTAACTGGTATTCGTCACAGTCCATGGGCTTCAGGTTACTGAATCATACCTTTGACGAAGCGTTTTGTCTCCAGACGGCGCAAGTGGCGTTTCGATAGCCGTCCACGACGAATTCGACGCCAGAGATTGCACAGGTGAGCAGCAAAACATCCAATCAGAATGAGTAAAGATATTCCCACAAGAACCAGCAAAGAAAGAAGGACGTATTTCAGCGGCAAACTATAGAAACTGACCACACTGACCAGGTACCTGTTTGAGAAAATTAAAATGTGAAGAAAATTAGAAAAATATACGGCAAATTGTTCCATGTATGTCCGAAGGAGAGCAAAATCCGGTGAGCAACTGATTAAAAACAAGGAAGTTCAACAATGCAGTGTGAATTTCCATGCTTTATGCACAGTCTGTGATAATTTTGTATAATCCAACGGAACACGACGCTGTTCAGGCGAAATTAAAATCACCATGCATGTCCCGACAAATCTCACTTAGCTAAGATGGTTCTAGAGCAACGTAAGGTGACTGTATCGAGGACAGAAAGTGTAAAAATGGTAAGCAGATATCCACTTCTGAGAGGGATCGGAAAATAGTTGGATGTAATGAAAGTCAGTAGATAACTGAAATCCAGCCATCACGTATGTACTAAGGTTTGGAAACGGGTTGGTTAATGGTACACCGAGTCCCTAAAGGAACGACTTATTAAGTGTAAAACACAACCCACGTAAGGGAAACGGTTATGGAGAAATTTAGAATTTTCTAAATCAGTAGATCCAGTGCTCGACAACGTTTCGATTTCGACACAAAAGCCTCGTCGGGTTACAAGGTTGGTCGAGGTTTAAGGCAAAAGATAACACTTCGGCAACATTTCCTACTAGTAAGCTATATCCGTTTGGGTGTCGACTATGAGATTTTGTTCATATGTATGGGTTAGAAGGAAACTTAAGGTCTACAATCTAGGGTCCGGTTGGTCCAACTGAGTTGTAACAACCCGCCTAACCATGGCTCAGGATGAAAAAACCCCGACTGTGATTTGATTCTGCTGCCGATGCCTGTCGCCCAAAATTCTGATGATAGTAGAGTGTCCGTAGGGGACTGAACTGCCTCTTAGATCCCAATACTTTGTGTTGCTACTACGGAAGCAAGGTTTACGCCTAGTACCCAAATTCACTAGTCCGTTTTTTTACATTTTTTCCTTAATATTTCCCTTACGGCAGTGGAAGTATAGGACATCACAAACACACCCGCATTTGCAGTAGCGGAAGACTGCTGACGAATGATTGCTCGATTGCTTACTGCTGAAAATGAACCGTAAAATGGAATTAAGACCTGATCACTTAAGATTGTAGTTGACTATTGAGGAGTCTACGGATGTTTCCCCACGATTATTGAGTTTTCCCCCAAGAACATATTGCGAAAGCAAGTGTTCCCTGCCTTACGGAGGTCCTCGTCCAGATTGTACCACACAATCTACTCGCCAAAGATTTCCACTTCACTGAAAATCGCCCTCGAAGAATACTGTATAAGTCGCCCATAGTGTCCCGGTCTGGACAGATACTGAAAGCTTCACCATTTACACTCACTCCTTGCCCCGGGTAAGGGCGACAGTAAAGTTGTAGGGGTTTGTCTATTGCTAGCATCGAATGGAGTGGAACTGATGTTCAGTGCGCCACTACCAATTTTTTCAGGAACAAGAATGTTGCCAGCTCAGATCTGGTTGAAAATCACTGGCATCGGTGCTGGGTTGATTTGGCCCACTAAAACCCGATCGGACACAAAATTCCTCTTCAGTACGCATTCGTTGTTGATTGAAATTCGTCATAGGACCTGCAGACGCTGTAAGACCCAAATGTAATGAAAGGGCGGACAAGGTTTCTACGCACATGGAAATTGTCACGCTTGTTACAATCCACTGTGAGTGCTGTGTTCTTAAACTGGTTTTCGGTCGAGGTTTCTGCCACAGGGTATGCTTTCTGAAGGAGATACTACGGTGAAGAATAAAACCGATAAACCGAATATCAACTTAATTTCTCATTTGTAGTATTCTCCAACCATATATGCCGCACAGTTATACGTCCAACTCGACATGCAATTGCTAATACTGGCTGATGACATCTGGAGAGTGCAGGATTGGAGGCGTCCAAGAGTTTACAAGAACTCTATGAACAGCAACACATGAAAAACCGAGGATTTTCCCACATGAGGATCCCCATTAGAAAAGGTATCCTCTAAAAAAGAATTAATGTAGTTGCGGTCATTTTCGAAAATGTCAATCGAGGTCATAAGCAATTGAGCTCGGGGTCAGTCAAGTTGCGATAAGGGGATAGAAAAGTATGACAACCAGGGGACATCCGTGTTTATCAGGGGAAACTCACTTTCTACTATCATTTGAAAAAGCGTATGACTTTAGCTCTTCTCCGGCGCTTCTATCAACCATGACTGACGGTATAATAATCTGATCAGCAACTATCAGTGATGCAGAAGGCATATGATTCCAGGCGTCAAAAACAAACGTACCCATATTTCCTTTCATGGGAAATATAAGGTGGTCAACATCATTGTATACTATCGCCGCAGAATAGCCAGCCATCTGCGCGTTGAAGACTTTGGTATCAAAGTGACAATCCCCTCGTTGGATTAGGGCAACAAAAGGTATGTCGGAAATTTCGGTTGGTACCATGGAAGAGGAGCTGTTCAAACGTGTTCTGTTATGCACCGGCTGCACTTTAGTACAGGCATTTGGTGGAGAGGCGATGAGCAGAAAGCCCTAGATGGATGAATATGTCGGAACGAAAAACCAAGGGAAACTCACATCAACATGAAATAGTTCAGGGCCAAACTGACTGACAGCATCCTCAAACGAAGTGACGATAACACTGAAGATGCCATTGTTCTGCATAGGGTTCGAAAGAAAATCGGGTAGCGGTAGATATTAGTTTATATTACAGGCAATTAGAGCGGGTGGAGGAACGGAGTGCAATGAATGATAAGGCTTTGTAAATGTAGAGATACTATCCCACATAAGATAAAACAGAATCTCAGCACATTAATTTAAAAAAATATCACACCTGGGAAACCGGCCCTAGTTAGACCAGGCATTAGGGTCAAATTCTACCAACGTTTCAACATTTTACGTTCAGGCTTTGGCGAGGACATTGAAATACACGTAGTCACTTGATACCGAAGGGATCGCGAGGAATAAATGATGTGAAATTATGGTCTGCTCACCTCTACGAAAATATGGGAGGTTTGCCTCAAGTATAATACAACCCTTCTGTTTCCTGAATGATATACAGGAACCAAAATTAGGCTGATGTGCGAGGAGTTTCCTTCTTCCAGGAAGCAGTCCGACTTAATGGCACATCTCCCCATCTAACCTCGTAGTTTCACCAAAAAATGGAGCTAATGAATTCGCATTTAATAAGCGTAACGCTCGGTTGTTAAAATAACCATCCATATTGGAAACGTTTCTAAATCCATCCAAATAATCTCAAAGATGATCGAATTAAACCATCACATCACTTCTTTGTTCATGACTTACTGTCGAGATAATGGCTCTTTTTCAGCACTCTAGTCCTTTTTGGAATTCGACATACGTGAAACATTGGTATAAGGTATTGTTAGTCCGCTTTTTCTGTAGCCTTCTTCCTTGGCTGTTCCGAATGCAACCACCGGTCGAATTTGTCGTATGTAACATGTGCCTGCTCTAACTTCACTGGCTCTGCTTGTAACCCATCAACTTCCATAGCCTTTATTCGCCCATGCATACTATGCAAAGCTAGTAGCTGAGACACGAGAATGCATACGTAAAATATTAGCAAGCGTCCTTACTGCAAACCACATAGAACTCAGCCGTTGATGTTTGGTGATCGCAGGAAACAGGCGTTCAGGACACTAGATGTTACCTGCCTTTGCTACCCATCTAACGTACAGAAAACGCTTTACCTTTGCGGCCATGGAAACAAAATAGCCTTGGGTTCTCTGTGCACAGGCGTTGGCGTAACGTTGAGCAACATGGACTACTCTTGGATTATATTCCTGTTGACAGCCGGTTACACGCCTCATTCAGGTTCATAAAAGATACGAATCGAAGTTTCCGTCGCCAAAGTATGGGTGCCACCTTCAGGGGTTTAAGTAATCATTGGTCCGGACAGAATCACATCGCACCCAATCGGTAATAGACAAGGGCACAAACAACAGTAAGCAATGCTTTTTGGGGTTTTATCTTAACTGGCGGAAAAAAATCGGTATAAAGTCAGGGTGAATGGCGTGGCTGACGCCTTGACCCAATTGGTACGCTATTGCAAGCAACCCGGCCTGGAAAGAAATCGGATTAAACCGCCCCATGTCAAATTTGATCGGGCGTTCGGCGGCCTCGGGAGGTAGCCGACTTCCGTTCCGTTCGGTTTATCGGCTACACCACATGTGCCAAAGGTAAGTTAGCTACAGCCACCATGATATCAGTCACCGAATAGGGAAGACCATGGAGGTGTTGTTAGGCATAGAAGGCGATGGCATTGTCTGTTCGTTAATGTTAGGTCATTCCATCTGTCTTATGAGACGAGAAAATGGGCAGCTACGAACTGAAGGTGATACTTTCGGTCCGGGAGCGCCATCGACTGTATGAGTGAGCCATGTCTTCCAGTGTCGTTAACCGTCGACGAGCTGGGCCTCGGGATATTGATCTTGGGTGGCGGTAGCTGGCAAGTGTTTTTGCTGGTTAATGTACTCACACTTCGTTGTCAGGTCACAGATCGTTCGTTTCATGATCTTTTCCGTTGGGCAGGAAAACCTCTGTGAGGTGGACGATCATCAGCGGTTCTAGGTACACATCCCAACCAGCGCAACCTATGGTGGGTTTAGCTCGCCCATCACAGGAGGGTTGCTTCATCCCAAAACCATGCAGCTTACCCCAACGTTGCTACTTCATGTTCGCACCTGACCTGATCAGTGCTTCAGACACAGATGGTCAGAGAATGTTTTCGGATACTCTCTGCGCGCGACGTTAGGTTTCCTGTCAAGAGCAGAGTATACACTGAGCCGGTGCGGTCTATACTGCTTGGTGGATCAGAAACGTGGGCTCCATACCCAGAGGATATAAGATCATCGGCTTCTCCAAAGCATTGGCTGGGTATAGAGGGAACACCAGGTCGGCAATATTAGGGTACACTGCATGGTCTTGAGACGAAGGAATCCTTTTGTGATGGACGAGCTAAGCGAATGTCATGGATTCAACTCCATAGACTGCGTTGGTTAGGACATGTACTTCACACTCTATGAGACCACCTGTCTTGCAGAGCTCTTTTTCAGAGCTGTCTTTCAAACACAGCGAATATCTATCGATACAGTACGTAAAGGGTTCAACAACGACTTGCTGACCAATCGGCTCAAGGGTTTGCAAGCTAAAAACTGTAGTAAAGACGGAAAGTGTGAGTGACATGCAAAAAATCAGACGTGAGCGGCGTCTTTTTCTGAGGCAACTACCACAAAATATTTCCACCGCAGTTATTTTACCGCCTATTTGTCTGTATCTTTCAATGGAATAACAAGTTTCCGCTCATCCAGCAACCCATATCAAGTTATTCCACATGCAGTGGAACCGAACCCGAGTAATTTTTCACCTCGAATTCACTTGGCGCTCGTTGTTTTCATCGTTTTTGTGGAAGCACGTAACCAAGGGCTCTTTTTTCCTCTGCAGTTCGTGTCAAGATCCGTAGTAATGTTGGTGCGATCTGCCTTCCAGGGAGGTCATTGAGTCCCCCTTACGTTTGCGTTTCCCAAAATAAGCGGTTACACGGTGTCAGCGATGTTCGCACTATTGGTTTCTACCTGGATAGTCTGACTCATCATCACCATCGAAGGCCTAATATCAGTGTTCAGCAGCGATTCTTCGCTCAAAGCCTTCTTGTGAAGGAAAGAATGAAAGAGAATGGAGAGGGAGCTTACTGCTGGTCATCATCATCATCATCATTGTCAGCTGTAATAACCGCGTACTCGTCGTACAGTGGTTGTAGCTGCCGCTGTAACACTCTTTTAGTGACCAGCTGTCATGAAACTCAAGGAAGCATGAGAGCTGAGATACTCCCAGGTTGCCCGGGCCTAGACAGGAGAAACTGAGAGGCAGATGTCGGGTTCGAAACACGGACCTTCCCGCCAGTAAATGTGCTCTAACCGCTGAGCCAGCTCGCCCCCGACGATCACCAAATCCGATAAGAATGGAGAGAGTTGGCACCGCTGACAGACAAAACTTCATGTACAGAAGTCTCTGGAGACTATCCGTATACTCTCACACGTCCGGAATGTTGAGAATGCAAAGAATTGAGAATGTTCACAAACTTCCAGGACATTCCTTCATGGGTAAGTGTGGTAAGGAGGACATACCGGTCAACCACGCCGAATGCGCCTTGAAAATCCAAGAATACCTAAAATGCGGGTCGTTTATATGTATGGCGCTGTTCTAGCAACTGACAGTATGAAGAGTTGGCCAAATCCAAGAATAAAATGCGGGTCGTTTATATGTATGGCGCTGTTCTAGCAACTGACAGTATGAAGAGTTGGCCAACGTAACCTCCAGCAGGCCGGAATCTCACTTGGAGTTCTCGAGTCAGTGTTTCACGAGCCAACAAAAGGCAAAGAAACACAAGTAACACCAAGAATTTCTCTCGGATCGGGGTCAACCTGACCCCTCTGTGATTATCACACTCATCACAGGCCCGTTTTTTGAAAGTGGGAAATACCACCAAATCTCCCCGCGCGCACGCTTTTTGACGTCTGATAATTCTTCGGGCAAATTTACGCTCGGAGTCAGGGGGAAAATGCCTCAGATTTAAGCAGTGCCAATCCTGTCTGATATCCAGTGCTTCAGTAGGCCCGGTAGCGCCTTGCCGCAGGCTAAACTCCTGGAACCGTGCATCAGTGTGGTGATCTCGTTCCAGTACGAATTCATAGCCGACGGAGGAGCATTTGGGAGAGAGTCAACAACAGGATCCTGAGAAATCCGCTAAGTGATGATCTGGAAGTCTCTGAGTTGCTAGGCTGTTCATCCGCACCCAGGAACACGACCCGGGAACACGAAGAGAGGAGCGGCTCCTGAAGACCACGTGGTCGGTACCCACAAATGTGTTCCAATAAAAAATCGTCCAGCTGTAGCACCCTTTGGGTGCCTAGCTGCCATGCCACCATAAGGAGGCACGAGGGCTGGGATACTGCCAGGTTGCCCAAGCCTAGACAGGGAAATTCGAGAGGCAGAAGTCGCGTTCGAACTATGGGCCTTCTGGCCAGTAAACCGTGCTCTAACTACTGAGTCATTTCGCTTCTGTTCCAATACGAGTAGAAGTCAATTACTGATCCGCACCATCGGTAACAGATGGCAATGTGATCAACTTGGGTTGTTAGCTGGCCCTTGTTGGATGATATCATGTGACCCGAAGAATTCGGTTATTTCGGAAGTTGGCACTGCTTCTGGTGGAATGGCGGATACATACCGAAAGGCTTCTACAGCTGAACGTATTTTTGAACATAGCTAAAGCACTCGTACGCCGCAACAACGCATTCAAGGGGTCATAAAACCTGTCTTCGGTTATGTCAGAACTACAATCAGTTTGGGGCTTTAGCGGACACCACGAGCGTACAAGTGGGCAACTCCCTCATGGACGTTGCCAGACGAACCAAACAGAGGTGACAGCACTCGTTCGCGCAACAACGTATTCAAGGGGTCATAAAACCTGTCTTTAGTTATGTCAGAGCTACAATCAGTTTGGGGCTTCAGCGGACACTACGAGCGTACAAGTGGGCAACTCCCTCATGGACGTTGCCAGACGAACTAACCAGAGGCAACTATTGGCGGGTATCCAGTAAAGCAAGGACTCCCGCTCGGTGACCCAAGACGACACCCAACCCTGTGCATTCTGCCGCAGCGGTCTGTGGATTGCAAGAGGTGCGTAGCCGCAAGCGAGTGGAGAGTGATAGGATATCTAGCTCAACCACCGTGTCCGCATCCTGAACTTTTGTTTCCAATACACAGCACGCATCATTGTCAAGCGGGTTCCGCGTGAGAGCATGAGAAACTTGTTGTCCTGCTTACTTCACAGCGCGAACATTGAAAGTAGCCAGACACAGTTGCCGATAACATACCACCAGTCGTCCATATAGATGCATCTGGTATAGCCATTCATTATCACCATCACCATCTTCATCATCGCCCTCAGCTATAGCATGAGAAGTTGTCCTGCTTACTTCACAGCGCTAACATTGAAAGTAGCCAGACACAGTTGCCGATAACATACCACCAGTCGTCCATATAGATGCATCTGGTATAGCCATTCATTATCACCATCACCATCTTCATCATCGCCCTCAGCTATAAAAACTACGTACTTGCTGTTTCGTTTGCCAACGAACTGAGGAGGTAGGGGCACATAGATAAGCATTGGAGGCGGTGGATGATATAACTGATTTCTGAATGCACGGGTGTCAGTGGACTTTCCATTGTGGTTGTCGGGAGAAGTTATGAATCGGGAGCAACAGTTTGTACGCATGTGCGCCATTGAGAGCCCGAGAACTACCAAAAATTAATGCTTTATCTTATTCGAGTTGAGCAGACGAAAGCACCAGTCCCATACCACCAAATCCTCATAAACATGTAATCATTCCGACATCATAGACTGCAACAAAATTTCCACACGACACAATGAGGTCTGATCGCTTTTGCATCACGTAGCATTGTCCTTCTATAAATTGCCGCTCAAAGCACTCCACATGTGATCCCGATAGGGGTGAATGCCCTCATTGTAATAACTTAATTACCGCACCCGAATTTCTTTATACTCAACGCCTTCTACTATACGATTTCAGCCCATATACGCCTCGTGGTTAGATGAGAAAACTGCCTATTTCTCTCTTCAAGTCCCGCCTCTGTTCTGCATTCAACTAAGCACCGAATACCAAACGTAACATCGATATCAGTGGGTCGACCCTTGTACCTCAGACTGACTCACGCTTCGTCAAGGATTAAGTCGGGGCCGCGGTTGAACGTTGTACAATGTTTGATGAAATATATTTGGGTCTTTGAGGCAAACTTACCATTACATATACTGTCGACTGAACTAAATCACACAGGACGAGTAGTAAAACTGGAGGGATCAGCATTAGACCCAGAGTTAGCAAGGAACGCAAAAGACTAAACAGACCCGGTGACCAAGCCTGAGGGCTGATTGGTTGTTTTAACACCGCAATGGTCACTGAGTTAATGGGTCCTTGCAAGGAACAGTGGGCTCTGCTCTTAGATTATTCTACTCCGGTCTCCGCAAGGTCATAGTGCTATCTGTGCCAAGCCTTAGAGGCACACTTGAAATTTTTCTGAATACATATTCTGAAGGAAGGAATCTTTAATATAACGTTCTAGTTTTCTATAGAGGAGAATGTCGGTAGCTCAGGTAGCGTAGATGGTCGTTGGCTTGTTCGCTGAGCTGGGCAACTTGGTTGCAAACGTTTCATCACCAATCGAAGTGACATCATCAGTGCGTAGTTGTGCGTAGCGGTGGGTTAGTGGTTGTGCGTTCAGTAGTGTTACGTGTGTGTTGATATACGTGCTGGTGGCCGGGGATGACCTTTGACCGCGCTTAGTTATTCTGTCGGGCGGTTCCATTGGTTGTTCTTTTATCCCGTGTCCTCATTCGCCGATTCCCACGTGACCTTGGAATTTGGCATCCCTCGCCGTCGTAGTCTGGTCGGTGTTGGATTGACCTTTGTCCTTCCGAGTTCCCTTGTGACGTTTATTGATTTGATTCCGAGGAGTTCCTTGTTTCTTCGTTTGCTAATCCATTATTCGGTCCTCCTTGAGTGTTTCGGTCGCGATGTTGATCTCTCGCACGTAGAGGTGCGTAAATTGGATCCAGTTCGATGCACCGGTTGGTTGA